ACCAGTTGAGGACAGAGCATTTTTTTTAAATTAAAACAGCATGTTAGGAAAATTATCAGACACAACTGTGCCTGATGTAATGTCTCTGAATGAGTCACTGTGAGCTGGAAATAGCTTCAAATTAGTTACATTTCCTCCCATCTGATTTAATGGTCAGCTAATTCATTTGGAAGGTAAATATTTTAATGTAAGCACTTAAGTGAAGTTGGTACTAATGCTTGATTTCCAACTGGCGTAAGTACTGTGTTATTCTCTTACTCCAGGATATCCTCACTGTAAAATAACCTTCCAACAAAAGTTGTCCCTTATGAATGGTGCCGCCCTCCTGTGGGTCAGTCAAGAGTTAATTATAAAAATATTTTATTTTTCAATACTGAACTGAGATATAGAGCTATATATATATATACTCGGTCAGGATGTTAACCAAGGATTACTTTGTACACATGCAAAAAAACTACAACTCTCATGAAAATCATTATAACTTGGTTTCATCCATATCTGTAATATTATATTATTAATATTATATAACACTCTCTTCAAAAAGAATTTCCCCCATTCATAGCTACAGACATAATTACATCTTTATTAAAAAAATGATAATCCTAAACATATGGAGTGAATGACATGAGGTTCTACTGAGAATGTTCCAAGGCTGTATTATTACTATTATTACTACATTTCAGTCTAGTCCAAAGTGGTGGACTGACAACCAAATAACATTACCACTGCATTCCATTCTGGGGTAACAGCACAGGTGCGACACAAACGATGGTTCTGTTTTCAGCTTTTAATTTATGTTTTTAATTTCACCTATGGCTGGTCAACTCACACTGTCTGCAGCTATACATCCTGGGCATCAAGCTACTTCTTCTAGATCTAGATAAGCTAGTTTTGGTACATTTTAAAACATTTTGAAGAAAACTACAAATTATTAGTATTAATTAATTCAAATTTATTTATTAGGATAAACCCCTTGAGATGCACCATCTCGTTTTCGAGGCGGTCCTAAAAGCCAGTAGCTAGTAATATTACTTTTACAGAAACATAGGTAACGTATTGACACCAGTTGGAACTAATATTGAAATACATACAATCCTCAGCTCTGCACTAGTAGTAGAGTAAACAAACTTGTTTTGGAGCACTTTCATTCTTAGCTCTGGCTGCACAGAAGCCTCAGGATCAGGCTAATAAACTCAGGCATTAACAGGACCAGCTTGCTTGTCAGTGGCAAGAAGTACTTAGGGATTGGCTGTGAGCAGGAAAACATCACATGCTCTTTTTATTCAGAGAATATTGGTGCTTGATTAAAGAGGCATTATGGTGTGTGTTCTTGTTGATCATTCTTAAGTTCAAGTGCTTTTCTTTGTCTCATCATGAAGTGACTGTTCTGTGGTGTATTGTGACATTTTACAGTAATCAGAGATAAGTTTAAGGTTCACTCATTTCATTGTATCCCTACTTTCCGTTTAGTGCAGTACTACTGTATACTTTATAAAATGTAAATGCTCCATATTTGTGTAGCACCTTTCTAGTTTTTTTGACCATTTAAAGTGCTTTTACATTACATATGCATTCACCATTCAAGGGCACTTTGACATGCAGCCTGGAGGAGCCAGGGATTGAACCACCGACCTTCCGATTAACATGCAACCCACTCTAACTCCTGAGCCACCACTATAAAGCTGCCCCTATAAAGACTCAGTAATGTATTTATATAACCATGGCTCTAGGGATGGTACTCTTTATTGGTCGGTCCACTACTTTGGTCATACTGAAAGTATCGCAACACCTATTGGACGGGTTGCTGTTTTGTACATACATTCATTGTCCCCAGAGTCCACCTGGCTTTGGTGATCTCCTGACTCCTGTCAGCATGAGGTTAGCGTATGTGGTTTTAAGTGAAATGTCTCGACAACTGTTGGATAGTTTGCCATAAAATTTAAGACATTCATCTTCCCCTCATGGTGAACCTTTAATCTAGCATCATCGTCTGGTACAATTTAGAATTTGTCCAGAATTGTTTGGACCAAATTCCTGCAAACTAATGACATTCCCACCAACGTCATCTGTTCTTTGTTTATTGCTAATTAGCTAACCTCAGATGGTGACCATGGTAAATAATACTTGCTAAACATCAGCACGCTAGCTTTGATATTGTGAGCATGTTAGCATGTTGAAATGATGTTAGCATTTAGCTCAAAGCTAAGGACAACTGTACAGTGCTGCTGGCATGGTAGACACTTAAGCTAGGTTTATGCTCGATGTCATTTTCTTGGCGCAAGGGTCTGCATGCCAAAATGACATCATTGTGTCACACCAAGACCCGTTTGAGTATAAACAAAGCTTAAGGACACATTCAGACCGACTTGAAAAGATGCAGTCCTCTTATTCATTGAAAGGAGTCGGTCCATCAGCACAGCGGCAACTTTTTCTCACCAGCTCCTTTAACAACACGCCCCACCAATGCAGCCCCCTGTGTTGCCCCCTATTGATTATGAAGCTAGTTTATTCTTTTCTATGTGCTGTAAATTAAATGTAGCATAGGGTGACTAGACGTCCCCATTTACTGGGGACAGTCCCTGGTTTTGGTGGCCTGTCCCCGTTTGGAGCTGTCCTCGTAAATTGCTGACAGCACAGCATACAGGTGTCATGCCAAAAAGTGATCGTCCGCAGAAAACTGATTGCCGTCAACGGGAGCGTTTGCAGCATATTGAAGCTATGTCGCCAAGTCCCTTTACAGCTGCTTTTATATGGATCAAACAAACATAACGTGCAAATAAACATCACTTTATGCCCGTGGTAATAGCAAAGGTATGTCTTTGCAATACTTTAATGTTTCTTTTAACGGAATAAATACAATTGTGGCCAAATAAGTGTTTGCAGTTTATAGCGTCCAGGCCTGACATTTACATGATTATAGGCAATAATAGAAGCCTGTTGTTGCTGATAGATTGTGATTGGTAGGCTTATGTCTAATACCCTTGTTTATATTTGGAAAATGGAATTTAGCCTATAATTAACATGACTTATGGCTGAGTTACAGTATATATAAAATAAAGACATGATCTATTTTGCAGTTATCCTTATGATTCCTTATAACTTGCTGTGCACCAACCAATCCAGTTCTTTTTACCTGTTGATATACCTTTAAATGGCCAATACAACCCATAACATGCAGTATTCCACTTGCCTGAAAGTGATTGCAGCCTCTGTCACTAGCCTGATTTTATTCAGAAGTTATATTTGACAAATTATAACTCAGCAAGTACTTTTTACTTCTTAAAATACCTTTAAATGGCCAAAACAACAAATAAAATGCAGTATTCTACTTACCAGAAAGTGATTGCAGCCTCTACTTATTGACTGAAAGGTAGATTCTGCAAAATGACTTGATTTCATTCAGAAGAGTTATATTTGACAGATGACAAAATCGTCCGCCTTTTTTATTTCATGTATAATAACATTATATTTTTGAATGACATATTGACCACCAAACCGAAAATGTCCTCAGTTTTCATATCAGAAATCTGGTCACCTTAATGTAATTATTTTAATTTGTATGCATATTCGTAATCATTATGTTTTGCCAAATGCTATTTGTGTCACGGTTTGTGCAAGCACAGGGAACACACGGAATCTGACCCAAATGCAGATTCAGAGGCAGAGTAGGTGCAGTTCAAAGATTCATTAACAAACAAAGTGTACAGCAGGTTTCTGGCCATGATGAGGCAGGCAAATTCAGAGCAGCCCAGCATTGCCAAACAAATACAAAGGAGCAGGCAGAAAATCCTATCTATAAACAAGTCTATAAACAGGTGAGGTCCAAGACAAGTCCACCCAACATTGGGAAACACCAGGAAACTGGCTGGACTGCTTGACATACAGACAAAGACAAAGTGAGACAAAAGAAAACAGACAAAATACACTAGTGAGGGGAGGAAAAGTAGACACATGTGAAAATGATCAGGGCAGGGCAGACAATCAGAACTGGCGAGAAACACACAAAAGCATGACGTAAAGTGAGTGAAACAAGAGGAGGTGAGTGTTACAAAATGAAACGGGAAACACTGACTGAATAACATGAAATGGAGAAGCACATGAAGTAGAGAGCATTGTGTACCATTTGCTAAGTTGTCCAACGGGTGATTACTTATGTTTTGTTATGTGTGTAATTTAATATCCTTATGTACTTGTTTCATACCAACTGTGCATCTTGATTTAGAAATGTTAAAAACAGTTAGTAGTTAAATCCCTTTTTTCTCTGGGACTTTGTTGCCATAAATGTATACTTAGCTCTTAATTATATGGCAGCTAACTACAGATTCCAAAAGTGATTGCAGTAAGGAGACTTTAATAGCTTTGTGGCTCCTCCCATAATTACAACCAATGTGAATATTGTTTTGAAAGGATTGCTTTTCATCCAGCTGTAATGAAATGTGTTGGAGGGAGGAGAGCATAGTGCAGGACAATATATCCCCCTGTCTTTCCCAGATCAGGAAGGAGGCTTCCACCACAGGGACAGTGAGTCTCTCGGGGCAGGAGGCCTCTGCAGGCGTGTGGCTCGCCACCGTCCACAGGCTCAGGGGACAGCTGTGTCGCGCTGTGGTGCTTGGCCCTGTGCCCTGAGACAGCAGTTGCCATAAACAAACAGTGCTGAAAGCTACTGGCCCAGTCCCCAGCTCTTTACAAGACGGTGTAGTGAGCTGGCTGACCTTCACCCAGCTCACTCCGTTCATTTCAAATAGATTTATACAGCACTTTGGAGAGTTGGTAAAGAAATGCCACTTGTCCCGTTCAAAACAAGTGGAATGAGAATGAGGAAAAAAGTGTCTGCCAGGCACTTTATTTTTCCAGATTTGCTGTTTTACTACTTACCTTGAATTCACATGCTATTAGATGTTTTGGGGAGAAAACACATTTCTTACTTGGAAAGGTCACAGGAACATTAAGTTGGATGATGAAGTGGAGAAGTTGGAGAACAATTTGCTACACAAGCTCTCAATGGTACAGGATAAAAGTTTAATGTGAGTCAATGGTACGAAAACAGCATACGTGCAAACATGTTTGACAAAACAAATGTAAACATGTGTTTTTTACTCAAGGTTCAGTTTCAGTACTGTATTTTTCTGAAACCTTCAACCATATTACATGATCTTTATCAGCGAATGCCGTTTTATCAGTTATTATGCAGAACGATCTGTTGACTTTCAAGCTTAGTAGGTTTTATGATGTCATCCATATCACTTTTAGGACTTCCTATATTGGCTGAAGCATTAAACTCCATACTACATGATATGATGGAAAGCTCTAGAAAAAGCAAATAAACTGAACCTGAGTTGGGATTATTTCATGCCTCAATGTAAACATGCTTTTTCATTCATTTGTAGTTGATTAACCCTCATGACTAAAAGTTCCTTAAAGGAATAGTTCAACATTTTGGGAAATATGCTTATTCCCTTTCTCAGATGAGAAGATTGATACCACTCTCTTATCCCTCGGTAATTATGAAGTTGGGGCCAGTAGACGGATAGCATAACATAAAGACTGAAAGCAGCAGGAACAATCCCCCCAGCCAGGAAATAATCCTGCACATAAGCCATAAGTAAAACTGCAACTTGTTGTTTTTACAGTTTGGTTTTTGTACAGATTAAAGAAAGAACAACTTATTACTTAGTTAACTTTAGAAGTGCATTTATTTTGTAACCGTCTGACAGAGCCAGGCTAGCTATTTCTAGCTGTTTTGAGGAGAGGACATCTATGTTCCCAGGATCCCAACCCCCTAACCCAAACCTTAGAACTGGGGGACATAGGACCCTGGGATTGGACACGTACAGTAGGTCTAACTAACTATTCCTTTGACTTTTTTAATAACTTCTTTAAGTTGCAAGATTATACATTTGTTTATATCTTTTCCTCCACTCTATCAAAGAAAACTATCCCATGAATAAAAAACAGATTGTCTGTTGATATGGTGATCCCTGAAGTCAGACCCTTGCAGCAGCATGTTATGGCAATATAAAACAGTGCTGAGTTTTCTTTCAGCCAAGTTGAGCCCAAATGAGCTGTTGATATGGTCATGGCTGAGTTCATCCCCTCTGTGCTTTTTGAAGGCTTATGCTTTCACATAGCTAGATTATCCGTTCTCCCACAAGAACTTTGTTTGTATTCACTTACTGTAATTCTCAGGAGATTTTAATTCATGTTCTTATGTTAAATGTCAATTTTTCAACATGAAAAAACAGAGTTCTTTTGCATTATGTTAAACACACTGTATAGTTCCAGTACAGTGTACTGTAGAGCTGGAACTGCCAAACTGAACAAAACACTTTAATAAAGGAGCGATGTGAAGTCAATTGAAAGCAGGTGGGACACCTTTTGTTGCATGCAAAGCTCATCTGGCCAATGATTCTGAAAGAGCTTAACATTTCTTCCAACACAAACAAATTGTTCCAAGACATACTTCCAAGATAATATCCCTATCAGCCACACCCAACAACTCACTGAATGCTTTGACCATATAAATGTTGTGTTTGGCCATCACTGTCACGTGACCTCAACTAAGAGATCTTGGAGCAGAGGCTGACGCACTGTTTTCCACCACTATGAACACAGCATCAAATAATTGAGTTTGTTTTTTTTGGAAAACCACTTTCACATACTGCTGAAGAACTTCCAGTTCCTCCCGCAACTAAATGAAAAACACTTAAGATGCGTCCGGTGGAGCCCGAATCCCCTGTAGACCCTCTGTGTTTATGTTTTTTTAACAGTTACCTTTTATGAGCAGTCATTTTTCATGCCAGAGTAAACATGTGGGGTTATACAGGCATACATCACACGCCTGTGGTCCATCCATTCATCAAAAGTAAATACATGAATGAAAACATAAATCATATCAGTTCTGTGAAATGTCAGTATTATTTTTTTGTTTATATGTGAGAGTAAATATGTATTTTTAGTTCAAACTGTTTGGTAAAAAAAAAAAAAAAAATGCTGCTTACAATCTATAAATTTTCAAATTCACAGTCAAAGTCTGTCATCCTGCACAGGATGTACTTCCACTGCCGATCTCTGAAACAAAGTAGACAAAGACAAAATCATGTCAGTTCCACCATCATAAATGACCAAACTTTATTGTTTTTGTTTGGTCTGCCAATAAATCCTGGTCCCATAGGCATAACTAGGGAGATATTTCCTTCCAACGCAGCCACTAGAGGATTTCAACTATTTTGGGATAGATTCTCCAAACTGCTGCTTCATGGGATCAGAAGTTATTAGGGAAAAAAACAGATGTTGTGAGCAAACCTTAGCACTCCACTGAATGTGGTCTGGGCACCTCGGATGAAGTACCCATAACTAGGGATCACCAGCTCTCCCTCTTCTCTGTAGTGTTCAGGAATGTCACTGGTCTTCCTGCAGAAAGCAACAAACGTTTGTGCAATGTTTTGGCGAGTTATTAACATTAACACCTTTTTCAAAAGAAAAGTTTTGGGAAACACGATTATTCGCTTTCTTGTCCCTATTTAGATGAGAAGATCAATACCATTCTCATTTCTGTACACTAAATACGTCTGAAGCTACAGCCAGGATATGATTAGCTTAGCTTAACACAAAATCTAATGCAGGGCCAAACAGCTAACCAGGCTCTGTCCAAATGTGACCAGATCTGCCACACAGCACCTCTAAAGCTCACTAATTGTTACTGTATATCTTGTTAAATCTGTACAAAAACTTATGTGTATGTTTTATGGGTGGTTATGTGCGGGACTATTTCTTGGCTAGGAGCAGTGACTTCCTCAAGTCTCCATTAGCAACCTCATAATTAAGAAATAGTCTGGCACATTGCATCTGTGGAACCCCCATGAGGTTGTCACTTTTATAGTTCTGTTTGTGTATGAACTAAACAAAAGAGATAAAATGTAATTAGTGAGCTCTGGAGATTTTGATAACCTTAGACAGTGCCTGGTTAGCTGCTTCATAATTAAAGCATCTACTGGCTTCTGCTTCATATTTAACAGACAAATATAAGAGTGATATTAATCTTCTTATCTAACTCCAAGTAAGAAAAGGGAATAAACCTACTTCCCAAAATGTCAAACTATTACTTTAGCATGCCCATGGCCCTGTGTGAACGTACATGCAGGAGTAGGGACAGCGTCGTTTGTAATAGCAGCAGTAGAACTGCCATTCCCGGTCAAGAACGGATTCAAAGTACTTGCTTTGTACGCCCGCTACCAGGCCATTGCGAGTGCATGTTGAAGTCCTGCAAAGACATAAAAGAGTTATTCCGTTATTTAAAAAAAAAAGGAAACAAAAAAGATTTAATTCATGACAGTGAAGGATATGGTACAAGATCTAAAATGACACCCCCATACTCTAACGCCATTCTTTTCAAACACAAAGTTTAATTTGTAGGTTTATACTATATTTAAAGTAAATACTGGTTTGTTGACAGTGCATTTTGTTTATGGTCCATAGGCCTACACTTTGTTGTCACCACAACACATCGAAGAATACCCGGGCCAAGCAACAGGAGATGCACGATGTGTAGACATTGTCATGACAACATGGGCACAGCCGTCGGCCATTCAGCCAATAGGGGGTAGTTCCCCAGCAGGATAATGTCCTAGCTGATATATTTCAAACAGACAGCTGTGTTAAAGGGAGGTAGGCGTACACAGTGTTTGTCTTTGAATGAGTGAATGAGCTTAACTTGGAAAAAATCTGAAGAGTTCTGCTCTCCAACCTAGAAAAAGAAATCTGAAACAGATATAGTTGAGTCTGCATTGTGTTTCGTGGTATGAGTCAAGCTGCTGTTTACACAGAGATGTCAGGCTACAATTCTCCCACCAAAGAAGCTGATCCAAGTCATTTAATTAGATCAACCTTTCTATGCAGTTGATGTTTAGTTGAACATGTTTATGTGAGGTTGTGGCATTTGTGCAGTGAAATAAAAAGATTACCTGACCTGTAAAGGAAGTCATTCATAAGTAAATTAACAGCAGGGACAATATTTTTTTCTTCACCTCCTTCAGTGGATAAAACAGATTCATGTGTCTGGCTAAACCTGCTGCATAGTCTGTTTGTACAATCTAGTTTTTTTTAATGGAACATTGAAGAGGTTCAGGAAGATGCTGTAACATGTGACCAATAAAATACAATGTATTATCTCTGAAGGGCCTTTGACGCAGCCTGTTGCATGAATCTAGTTGATGTAGTCATGTTCCCAGGAACTGTCAATTGAAGACACATATGGCTGTTCTGGAGTGAGCTGATGATTCATAACAGCCCAGGAGGACATGGCTTTGCTCCTCTAAATGAGAAAATAGTGGACAGAACTCAGTTCTTTTTTTTTAGTGAAAGGTTACCAAAAGATACATGTGGAAAGTCTGAGTTAAAATATGTGTTAATCTGGTACTGTATCAGAGACAAACTATTAAGTTTAGCTTGCTATAAAGATGGAGTTGCACTATGTGTAAGTCCATTACAAAGTTTGTGGAATTGTTCTTAGTAACAACTAGCTAGTTTAGAACTAGAGATTTCCTAGATTTGCTTGCTAATTAAAACACGGGTGCAGCTACAATCAAAAAGTATCAAATATGGAAACAAGAAGTCACTGCTGTAACAAGCTGTGACATCCAAAAAGGAGTCAGTCCTTTTGTAAATGTGTATGAATGTGTTTTATTTGTGCATACTTGGAGAACATTTCAGAGTTAGCATTTTCACTATTTCTGAAGTTTAGAATGAGTGAAAAATATCCGATCGTGCTAACCAAGCTAACATTTTGTTATATGATGTCTGCTGTGTTATTTTGTTAAATGTCATTTAAATTTTCCCAGGTTACACCATTATTAGACGGCCTTTAATCAAGTGGTCAATGTGTGGACCCACATCTCCTCACTCTAACTGGGCCATATGTTAGCAAGCTAGTGTTTTAGTTTTGTCCATTAAGCTCAGTCAGTGATCATCTCTATGTTCTCAGGGCCCTATGAGCATGTGTGTCTCTTGATGTAAATTAATATTTTTATTATATTAATTTATATTAATAAGAGATAAAGATAAAGAAATAAAATTGCAAAAGAACGTCAGGGAGATGGGTGTTTCAAGTTTCAAGTTGCAGTTTGAATGGTAAAAATCTCTTCAGCCACTGTGGAGATATTAATGTCTGAAGTCAAGAAAACCATCTTGCCCACAAATGTGAAGGCATCGGTTTCAGGGACTATAACACCAGTAATCTGTATAAGCTGTAGGTGGGTGATTTCAACACACTGACCCAGGGAAACATACATTGAACATTTGACCAAGGGATAAAAATGTTGCTCAGAACATAAAACCCTTTGAAAGGTCTCCTAAGAAGAGAGGATTATCAAGAGGATATTGAGCTGGGGAACATTGGACCCTGGGAACGTAGATACGTTCCTGTTCAGTTACACAGTAGTTACTGTTTGCAAATATATTTATTTATTTAAAAATCTTTTCATAAGAAAAGTTTTTGTGGCACACCTTGTTTTTAATTTAACACCGATAGTAGTGTTTAAATGCCCACCCACGACACACTTGCGTTATTACAAGATTAAGTGTGAGCTTGCAAAGAGTTGGTGCAACCTGGTCTTTCAATAACCAAAGACAGCTGTATCTTATGCTCTAGATGAAGACTGGAGGTCTTCCACATGTGTGTGTGTCACCCACCCACCAACAATACTTGTGGTTTTGTTCATACAACAGTTTCAGCTCCACTCTAGCCTCGGATGGGCCTTTGCTGTCTGTAGTGACCTGAAACAAGTATATCCTACACCTACAGTGAAGAGACACACATTAGTAATTAAGGCATTTTTAACCAATAAAGGAGGCCTGCCTGTTACATGGCTTTCATGTGGATTTGTCTAACTATCCTGCTAAAGATAAAGAAATGAACAAATCCAAACATATTCACAGCTGCTGTTCAGAGTAAAAAAAGAGAAGCTGCAGAAAACTGATGATTTACTCATCTCCTTTCAGTGCATTTCTGAATTACTGTACTCAGAAATCAATCTGCATTATTTATTTATACCACGGCTGGTTAAATCCCTGTTGACTAAGACACTTAGACTAATGTTGTTTGCAGTAAGATTGTGAATGGGAGAGGAATCTGCAGCGAACCGTTCATTAGAGTGAACTCTGTGCATCTCTGTGCCATATGCTAGACGTCCCGCCAAGAAAACGACTGAAATTAAACTTACCTGGATTCCTAACAATCGAATCAGTCCAACTAATGTGGTATTTAAACTTTTAACACACTCTAAATTCTATACCTGCAAGCAACAAACTTAATTTAACTGTAAAGCCTGAACAAATGTGACTTTCCAGCATAATTCAGCAACTGTAAAAGTCAAAGAAAGTAGAAAGAAGGCTTTCAAAAAATAAATACATCACTTATATACAGCAGAGGACCCACCACTCCATCCCAGCACGGTTGATGTCGTCCCACCAGCAGTCACTGGGCTCCCCCAGACCCTCAGGTGTGGCCTGGCACTCAAACGACCACAGGCGGTCCATGCCATCTTGCTCGCTGAAGTAGCTCCTGGTGGCCACAAGGACCTCTCCGTGGGGACACTGGAAGTTGAAGCCCTGGCGGTAGCCATTAACCCACCCCATGTCATGATGGTCGTGAGACTGAGCTGCCACTGTGGCCAGCAAAGACGACACCAACACCACCAGAGCAGGATTCATGTTGAAGAAATCAGTCCCACTGCTGCGCTTCCTCACAGCTGCCTCAGTTTAAACTCCTCCAAGTCTTTTGTTGTGCAGATGTTTTGTATCCAGGAGTGATGTGTGATTTGCTGCTCATGGGACAAATCCAAAAGTGGACCTCACTTGACATTTTAAGGTGGACTCAGAGACAGAGCTTTAACAAAGTCTCACCATAGATGAGGGTTTACCTTAAAAGAGAGCCCTTTCAGATTACACGTAAGTCAGATATTTATGCGACGCTTTATTTGACTCTGGAGAACGTATTCATGTGTTTACCATCTAATTTCTCAGGTTGTTAACTTTGCAGTGTGATGATCATCAGCTGGTGAGGATGATGACTTTTTCCCTGGGAAATGCAGCTTTAGCCTCAGTCCCAGTCTTTTAGCAGGAAATTATGTATGTAGCCATCAAATGCATATTTAAGATCTCTTTACAAAATCAGCTGGAAACATTAAAAAGCCAGAGATGGCCTTTTGAATCAACCCATGGGGCTAACTTAATAGGCATCATTGAGAAACTCATCATTTGCAGCTAGTCTTCTTTTGTCTATCTCAAAGACAAATTGTTTCTCAAATTTATTTCCTGTGGTAAATCTGCCATCACTGTAAACCGCAAATGTACTGTGCGAAAATGGAAAGCTTGACAGGCATAGTAACAACACACCAGAGAGCCACAGCCTTGCACTGGGTGACATGTTCCTTCCTATGAAATGTAGTTCATTTAATTCTCACAAACACTGTCCTGTGCTGTAAATACTCAGGAGCACACCAAATGTGTTTAAATCCACAATGGAAAGAAGTCCCTAACAAAAAAACTACAGTAACCAGCTGTTTCAGGAAATCACAGAGCCTTGAGAAAACTATGTATTTGAGACCTGTCACAGACCTGACCTGTAAGGTTTTTATCTGAAGTATAGGAAATACTTTCTGGGAGCTGAAGGAAGTCAGAGACGGGTTGAGAGACGGACTGGATTTGTTGAAAATAAGAAAATTATAAAACAACAACCATAGCCCTAAACGTTAATTTAACATTCAATACCAAAAAAAGACACATAAAAAGCAACATTACATAACAAACATCGAAGACAAAATCTAGTCTTCTTATCTTCTTTCACATCAGGACTTCATCAATACATCAATAATGCTAAATTAAGGTAATTGAATACAAGGTTCACAAAGGTCGTGCTTCTTGGCTTGGTGCAAAACCACTGATCCATTTTCTTCACGCCATCACAAGATAACAGCTATTAGTGTTTTTCCACAGCTTCCTCCTGTTCCTGTGAAACAGTGTTCTGTTAAAAGCTGACTGGCAGACAAATTAGGCTCTGTTAGAAATGAGCTCATATTATTTATGGGGTGTGGTGTTATGAGTAGTTTGCTAATGTAAAAGTTGCTTTGTTCATGCTTACATATTTTATGTCCTAATACATTTTTGTCCCTGGGGTTTTATTAGTCCCAGGACAAGATGTCAGAGAGGCTCATAATGAAATTTAGATTTTTAATTTGTGCAGGATGTGTGAGTCCCACGTCACACTGAGACATAGTACGTTACTACATTAGTGATATATTATATCACCTTTCACATACAGTGGAATAGACAAAAAACGTCTGGCAATGGCCAAAACAGGTGTTGTTAATAGATTTAAATTATTATTATATATTATTATTATTTAAATATGATTCAAGATTGAAAGTCACATGTGTATTCAATATGTGTAATTTAATGCAGGACTGCATACTCTTGAACTTATGCCAAAAGGCTAAAATTGTGCAATAAAGAATAATTATTAGAATACGAGTAAAAATAATATTTGGAAAGAGAAAAATTCTAACTAAAATGTATAAATTAAATTAGAACAGTGTTAAGGGAGGCTGTATAGCTTTTCAGTAAATAAAACATTTAATATGAACAAATGTTATAGTTGTAAGGCAAATCATACAATATGTCTTTCAGAATCTACATTTATGTTCCACATAAAAATACTGTTTCTATATCTACTAGAATAAAATTTACAATAGATTATTTTTGCAGAACTCAGAGAAAATCCTATTTCATTTAGTATAAACAATACAGACATATTGATTATACTGTATAATATATACACCAACACAGCCACCCTACGTTTACAATGTACATCCACATACATGTTTTCTGGCCATTAAGACAACCAAAAATTTTCTTGGCTTTAATTAGTGAGGAGAGAACTCCATTTGATCACTGTGGGCCTGAGAATCTGATCCCATGTGAGAGATCATCCTCAAAGCATCTAAAAATAAATAACAGCACATGTTCAGGAATAGTGTGTGAGTCACTGCAGGAGGAGTTCCACAAAAGTCAAAATGGAGCAGAAGCGGGAGGTATTTATAGGCACTATTGTCTATTTAAAAATCCCTATTTAGAGCAGTGCTGTTGGCACTTAGAATGTAGGGCTTCATTCACAATACTTTGATCTGACTGTGACATACAGACTGCACTGTGTCAAAGGTCACAAGGTGGAAGCAGCCATGCCTATGATTGAGGGGCCTGTCCACGCAATATCTTTGTTCAAATCACCCAACTAAGATCTTAACTGTTTGTACATAATTTGCATACAGATGCTGCAGAAGGCCTTTATAATTTAGGAAGCATAGAGAACCATTAAAAATGCAAGTCCCAAGTAAAGTGAAGATTAACTTCACCCTTCGCTGCCCGCAACAGCAATCATGAGGAGTTACATCTCTCGTTCATTTGAAAGAGAGGTTAGTAGTTGAGGCATAATGGTAGTGTAGAAAGTAAAGCTATAAAGTTTTAAACATCTTAAACCAGTGTTATCTGACACAGAAACACTTTAATGAACAGGAACATTCTCTTTATATTTGAGGGAAAATATAATGGCTTAATGCCTTGTCTGAAGACACTTTGGCATCAAGCAACACTTCTGATAAACTCATTGGTCGTTTTAAAGATTGAAACAGTGTTTTTTTTTATGAACGTCCCCTAAGCTCTCTGCCATTCAAAAGCGCCCTATTATGGGATGTCCGATGATAAGGAATAAAGAAACCCCACTGTGGCTGACCGTCACATTGAAACGTCCTTTGAGACCACAAGAGAAATGCTCTACTGTATTTATTATGATGGGAAATATAAAAGCTCAATCCAAACATCCTAACACAGCTGTTTATACATACACACTCAAAATCACTCATCTCCTTCTTACAGAGCTTGCTAGGGCAGCTCTGGTCTCTCAGCATCAGGACAGACTTTCATTGTCCCTGTAGGCAGAATGAAGTTTGTATTCAAATCAGGGGGCATCATTAGCTGCCAAGTAGATGGCATAGAAACAACCTGTGATTCTGCAATCAAACTCTCATTCTCAGTTTGGCGCGCTTCATTACTCAGCATGAAACTGTCATCTCGTCAATTATCACCACATAGAAGGCCTTGTTTAAAAATGGAGTGAAACGTTTGCCTGTAACAAATAGAGAAGTGTGAGAATTTGAACAGTATTAAAGGGAAATTAGCGGGCCGAGCTCTTCATAACCTCTCTGGTCAAAACAGACATTTAATGTTCAAATCAGGTCACTCGCTAGACAAACTCAGCATATACTAAACATCTTATCCTGCAAGTAATGTGCATGTCTGTCAAAAGCATGTTTAAATGTGATGCCACATGATGATGTCATGAATATACATGCAGGCGGTGCAATATCATAAAGTGCCCTGCCTGTATGTGTATGTGATACTCAATACTATTGAGTATCACATACACATACAGTAGTAGTAAAAAGTGTGTCCATCCTGATGTACTGATGCTAGTCAACTTACTGTCTGCCTGTTTCAGATGCAGTGGCCTTTAAAACTCCTACGCGTCTTCTCAAAATGACATTTTTGGTTCAATGTATCATGTGATCTTACAAAATAGCATGCAACAAAGCGCCAACAGCAAGACCTAGTCTCACATAAAACGTCACTTTCACACATGAAGGTCAGTTTATACTGACGGTAAAATCCATTGTGTTACGTCTTCTGTTGCTCTGAAGTTCAAGAAAATAACCCTGGTGACGTCATCAGGCGAGAACAACAGCGTCAGTCTTTTCAGTAAGTGACTCAAACACTCAGTGTGTTTACATTCAAGCCCTCTGGTGGCTGTAGGAATTATGACTTGCCTGTCTGTCTAAATGAGGAAGTCAGATGATAGAACCACAAAGAGGAAGGTGGTTAGGGTGGATGGACCAGCAACATGTTGGGAGACATCTTGCTGGTCCATCAGCATGTTACCTGCTTCCTACCTACAGTCAGTGTTTCTTTTAGGTATAATCACGATCATTCCCTAACCAAGTAGTTTTTATTTGAACCATGATGACGAAATTCCCCTAAGAAGTTGCTTTAAATCAAACCTACTGTGTTTCCCTTAACCATATCGGTGTGTCAAATCAGAAATTGTAACAGTGATTTGTAATGGTTTTGGAAGGCACTGATTGAATAATGATGTTGGCTTGCCAGAAAACATTTTGTTATTTAATTTGAAGGGCTTATTCCAACCAGGTTAACCGTCGCCGCTTGGGCTTCGAGATGAGACATTTACAACAGAAAGCCTGTTTTAGAAACTGGGTGTGGAGTTTGAAAGACGTGGTCATTTACCCAGCAGGAAGGATTTCATGACATATCAGGCACCGAGGTAGGGGTTAAAGGTGCCAATCATGTACCACAATGTCCCTGGTTAAGGTCTGGTCGGTGACCTGTCTTGTATGTCTATTGACAAGAGCGTCACTTTGTGTTGAAAAGTGGTGGGGACATAAGGGCTCAGATTAGTAGATCAGTTTCCACAATTTGAGTTTATGAACTCAAAAGTCAGAAGTTTCCAGAGCTTAAATATTTGGAGTTTGCGTTAAATGTACTTTTTGATTACTATTAGATAAAATTACTGATTAACATAACTCAAATATTTTTTAGTTAAAGCAACTCAAAAATATTAATTTGATAGATCATTAAGTATAAAACCCAGTGTTTCATGTTCAATAAACTCAATATTTTTTAATTTCTATTAATTCAAAAACA